TACTATATGTTAGTGTCCATTACGGGTAGTCGTAGGCGGCTGTCTCTGTCTCTCTCTATGTCACTCTCTGTCACTCTCTATAGTGCTATGTCGCCTACTTAATATAGGCCTGGGAGAGTCTATTGTGTAGGTAGTTTCCGGTCTCACAATACCTCCCTTCCAGAGAGTTTTCTTTTTTGAAAAGTATAGAGAAAAACTAAAACTGTTAATACTTTTTCCTCTTGGGATTTACGTCGAGCGGTTGAGTAAATTTCCTTTTCCTTCCTGAGCGTCGCACTTCAGGAGAGGCTTGGGGCTTGTCGAGATCGAACTAGAGATCTTGATGCGTGAGCCACAGCTTTTCGCGAACCATCTGGCAGTTTATGTAAAATGCAAGCACCAATGCCGTACGAGCTTGCATCACTTGCGACTATGATGTCAAGACTAGGGTCGTAATGGGTGAGGGAGAGGTCTGAAGTAAGAGTTTTCTTGATCTTCTCGAATGCGTCTTGTCATTCCGGGGTCCATGGCCATGATTTGTCCTTTTTCAAAAATTGGTTGAGAGGCCCTCTCAAATTTTGCATGTTCTTAATGAACCCTTGGTAAAAGTTAGCTAGGCCGAGGAAGCTTTGTAACGCTTGAACGTTATCTGGGGCCAGCATGTTTATGATCGCATTGGCTCTTTCTGGATCCGGCCGACGACCTTCTTTATTTATGACGTGCCCTAAGTATTTAATCTCTGGTAAGAAAGAGTCACATTTTACCTCCTTAACCTTAAATCCGTATTCTTGTATCTTTTCGAATATGTTTATTATATGGTTCCGGTGCTCTGCCGTAGTTTTACTAGTAACCAGTATGTCAACCAAATAGGCTGTTGCGTAGTCAAGGTCGCCCAGCATCGCGTCCATGACCTGCTGGAAAATTGCAGGCGCAACCATTACTCCAAAAGCCAGTCTATTGTATTAGTACAACCCTCTATGGTTGTTTATGCAGAGCAATTTGGAAATTTCTTCATCCACCTCTATCTGAAGGTATGCGTCCGAGAGATCAATTTTAGAAAAAAAATTTCCACCATTGAGTTTATTGAAAATTTCTTCAGGGCTTGGGAGAGGAGGGTGGTGATCTTGCAAGGCATCGTTTAACTCTGTGGAAAAAATCTGCGCATACTCGTATTTGATTGGACTTCTTTTTTTACGTAGACCGTAGGTGCTGCCCACTTGCTGAAATCTGTTTTTGACAGAATACCTGCTTGTTCGAGTCTATCTAACTCTTTGTTGATTTGCTCTAGAGCAGCGAAAGGGACATTCCGTTTCTTTTTGAATACTGGTTGTGCACCGTCCTTCACCTTGAACTTAGCTTTCATTTTAGTACATTTCCCAAGGCCGCCAGAAAAAAAAACCTGGGGAAATTGTTGTTTGAGTTCCTTTTTTAGATTTACCAAATTGGCGTTGTACTTTGTATCTTGCGACAAAATGTACTCATTGGGCAATCCCAAAGATTGAATTTTTCTATCAAATCTGTTCCAAATAAGTTATCTGAAGTTTTCAATACGTAGGCTTTGAGCTTTTTGGTAACTCCATTTAGTGTTACTGTAAGTATTACCTCACCTAAAATGTTAATCTTTTCGCCAGTTACGGATTTTGCTGTTTTATCCGTTTTTAATAAGGTCGGCTTGTTCAATTTTCGTCAAGTACGCCAGTTAATGGTTGAAAGATCGGAACCCGAGTCAAGCTGGAATTTAATGGACTTATTGAAAATATCCACAGTTACATATTTCCTTAAATTCCTATCGACAATATTGTCAGATTGAGCTTGCCTAATTTTATTTTGGGGTTTTCTCGTTCTGTTGGCGTGCCAGCACGAAGTTAAAGTATGCCCACTTTTATTGCAGTTTTTGCAATATTTTCTGTTCTTAACTGGACACAATTTCATCCAATGCCATTTACCACAATGGTAACATGTTCCGGGCGGTTTCTTTAACTTATTTGGGTTTTGGTTACTGCGGAATTTAGGATATGAGATTTGCCTTTTGTCTTTTTGATGGGAATAGGAGGTAGACTTACTTCTGATTTTATTAATCTGAGCCACACCTGATTCCTCGATAGTGTTTGAGTCCCGCTTTACAGATATTACTCTTTGACAGTCCTCTGCCAGTTTTTTGGAGAGTCAATCCTTGTTCGTTCTCAAGCTGGGTCAGTACCCGTCGTCTGACTTCGGCGTCTTCTGCTGATACTAGACCTTGTGCAAAAATCAAGCACTTGAAATCATCGGCAGCCAGTTCGGCTAGTTTAAAATCATTACAGAGCTTGTTTACCGATGTTGTTTACTGGACCACTGTTCACGGTCTACATTGAAAATATCTTCGTAGCGCCTGTAAAAGGCCTCGAACGTTTTGTCGTTCTCTGGTACGTATTCAAAGGTTTCCATTGAATTGTAGATTGTACTCTGGGAGAATATTGTATCTTTTTCAGAGTTTGAGTCTTTTAATGCATTTACGAGTAATTCTATAAGTTGTTTCTGTTGTAGTTCAGCATTCTGAAGCGTAATTGGTTGGAATTCCATTTGTTGTTTATGTAATTCCAAAAATAGTTGTTGTTGTCTTTCTTCTGCTTTTTGTTGCTGATCCAAATTTGCTTTTAGCATTTGGGCAATTACTTTTTGAAAATCTTCCATATTTAAAAATGACAGCGTTTTTTTTGTTGCTTTGAAACACGTGTAATAAGAGGAGGTACACAAAAAAATCTTGATAGATTTTTGTTCCTCTTTTTTTTTTCTTTTACAGAAAAAATATGGACAGACAATTAGTTAAACTAAACTAATTATGTGTTTAGCTTTTTTTCCGTGGTTCCATTAATTTTGATGTAATTGAATAAATTTTCACCACACTTATGTATTTTTTTATAGTTATAAAAAGAGAAAACTCACCTCAGTGAAATTGAGGGGAGAATAATTTTATGCCCGAGTTCAACTCAGCTACATAGAAAAAAAAATCTGATAGTTTTTTCGAAAACTTGAGTACAATGGTAGTACTTCGCTCTAGTATTGCCAGTTTGTTTTATGACAAACTGTTTTTTTTCTGTGTGTGAGTGTGTAAGAAATCATTCTCGTATTGTTATTCGGACAGACTTTAATATTCCGTAGATGTCGAATCGCTAGTTCGTCAATAATGTTTGGTATCGGAATATATTTTTTTATTTTATATGTAGACGCTGGGTGTTGCGTTTAAATCGCTAATGTAGTAATACCAGCTTAATTTCTCGTTCAACACTGCTGTGGGAACGCGTGGACTTTCTGTGTATTTTTCGAATACTCTGTCGCTATTGATATGGTGAGAACGAAATTCTCGAATCTTTCTGTCGCCACTGTTGTGGGACTGACAAAGTATTGCGGTTTTTCGACGTGAATGCGTTTCTCGAATTCTTCGTCGACACAGATGTGGGACTGGAAAGGTATTTAGGTTTCGCAGTGAGTGCGTTTCTCGAATCCTCGTCGCCACTGATGTGGGGCCAAAGTTGGGACCACAGAAGAAAAACACGGAACACGGATTACATGTAAGAAAGATATATTAACAACAGGTTACAGAGATAGTGTAAGCGGAGCTTACTATATGTTAGTGTCCAATACGGGTAGTCGTACGCGGCTGTCTCTGTCTCTCTCTATGTCACTATCTGTCACTCTCTAGAGTGCTATGTCGCCTACTTAATATAGGCCTGGAAGAGTCTATTGTGTAGGTAGTTTCCGGTCTCACAATAATTACTGAGCTTGTACAAACCAAGAGCGGTCACAAGAATCGGTAAAACGTAAATATAAGCCACACTTTGATCATAAACCACCTTCTTAGACTTACAATAGGTTTCAGACTTTGTCAATGTTTTCCTCTTCTTCGTACTGTATCTCAATTTAAATTTTCAATACTGAGTTCCTGAAAATTGTATTTGAGGAACATACAAAGCAGACACACGATAAAACGCAAAAGCATTAAATATAATTCACATTTTGATCACAAAAGACCGTTAACGACTTGGGAAAGTTTCCAAACTTAGTCAAGGTGACCAGAGTGCTTCTCAACATTATAAATGTGTTGCCCTGTGTTCGCTATTGAAGAGTAGATTTGCCAATAAACCATTCTTGGACAGATTCCTCATCGGTAGTTAAAACAGTTTTCTGTCATCATATCCAACGAAAATAGCAACGGTGAGCACCCAACTTAAAAAAAATCGTTTCTCACAGACGAATCTTCACATGCCTCTCATTACTCTCTCGTTATTTCCGCCAGTCGTAACCTTGGCAGCTAAGACCAGCCAATCCATGTACACAGGGTCTAATTACATTCATTTTATTCGTAATGCATTTGTAAGAATGAAATTCCATTCTGATAGTTTCTTTAGAACTGTTACCTTATGGAACAAACTCCCTATAATGTTTACCCGGCCATTGTAATTTTAAACTCTTCAACTCTCTAATATAATCACACACGCTGTACCTCTTGCCTCCTTTTCATACGCTCATGCTTGGACTTTTATTGGTTGAATATTAGTGTAAAAAGTTATCCATTGCCAAACAAAACACACGAAATATGCTGTTTTATTGTTAAACGGTGGTCGTTATCTATCATGAATTGTTCGACCAAAGGAAAAAGTTAATGTCAGCAACAGGAAGCATTGTATAAACAATTTCCAGAGAAAGCAGCTACGTTTTGTCAACTATGAGGGTGTGTTGCTCTCACACAATAATGCAATTACCACACGTTGGCCGAATCATTCTGGAAAAAAGATTGTAGAAATAACGCTTTGCCTCATTCCCCTTACTCTCCCAAACGTGCTTCATTTGAATATCTTCTTTCCAGATCATTGCAAAAATTCGTATTGAGAACCTGAAGAATTTTACGCCCAACGGATACAAGATTTTCGCCCGAGGGATACAAAATTTTCCAAACAGAGGGAATTATGTCATTGATAATGAGGGGAAAATACAATGTTGATTAAATCTATGAATGCTTGGCTTTCTCGTCTTCGAATATAATGGGAATTGCTTTTAAACTAACGCTCTCTCTCTCTCTCTCTCTCTCTCTCTCTATCTATCTATCTATCTATCTATCTATCTATCTCAGTTTGTTCTTATCTATCTCAGTTTGTTCTTATCCATTTATCTATCAATCTTATATTCATATCTGTCTGTCTATCTATCTATCTATCTATCTATCTATCTATATCTCAGTTTGTTCTTATCTATCTATCTATCTATCTATCTATCTATCTCAGTTCGTTCTTATCTATCTATCTCAGTTTGTTCTTATCTATTTATCTATCAATCTGATATTCATATCTATCTATCTATCTGTCTGTCTGTCTATCTATCTATCTATCTATCTATCTATCTATCTATCTATCTATCTATCAGTTTGTTCTTATCTATCTATCTATCTATCTATCTATCTATCTATCAATCAATCAATCAATTTATCTATCTATCTCAGTTTGTTCTTATTTATATATCTATCATTCTGTTATTCATATCTATCTATCTATCTATCTATCTATCTATCTATCTCAGTTAGTTCTTATCTATCTATCTCAGTTTGTTCTTATCCATTTATCTATCAATCTTATATTCATATCTATCTATCTATCTATCTATCTATCTATCTATCAGTTTGTTCTTATCTATCTATCTATCTATCTATCAATCAATCAATCAATTTATCTATCTCAGTTTGTTCTTATTTATATATCTATCATTCTGTTATTCATATCTATCTATCTATCTATCTATCTATCTATCTATCTATCTATCTATCTCAGTCTGTTATCTATCTATCTATCTATCTATCTATCTATCTATCTCAGTTCTTATCTATCTATCTCAGTTTGTTATCTATTTATCTAGCAATCTTATATTCATATCTATCTATCTATCTATCTATCTATCTATCTCAGTTTTTTCTTATCTATCTATCTATCTATCTATCTATCTATCTATCTGTCTACATTCATTGGAAGATTTTCGTATTCCACCAAATATAATCAGAAAGACTAGCCTTCACTGTCATATGGCAGAATAAAGTAGCTTAAATAGTTTTTATTTGATATTAGTTTGACGTGATATTTACACGTACACATAGACCAACAACCAATCTTATATATTTAACTGATAGGTTTCCGATCGGACGCATTCGCGAAGAAATCTAGTTTATATAGAATTTTAGTAGATTCTGTCCTCAAGAGGTAATCGTAGAAATCGTCATCTTTTATGTGTCGTGTCCCTTCAGGTCGTGGACTATCATAGCTCTCTGCAACTTCATATCCTTTGTTGCTGTAAGCAATGTTTGCCACTTTGCTATAAAAAGTAATAAAAATAATAAGGAAACTACTGCAATATTCATCATATAACCAGTTATAAATTTATTTCAACAGATATATATATATATATATATATATATATATATATATATATATATATATATATATATGAAGAAAAAATACAGAAGAAACAAAACAAAAATCTGAATATATATATATATATATAAAATACGTTTTAACAACATCGCCCACGTGACGACTACGTGATCATATTTAAACGGAACGCTGATCTTTTATAAACATTTCAGTTATCTGTTTGGATTAGTTGGGCTCTTATGTCCATCGTCTTTTGTGTTAAATTTTTATAAGTTCTAATGTTAATCATGTTTAAATGAAAATGTCCATGAAGATGGTCTTAAATAGACCGAAACGTCCGACGTCGACTTTATATTAACATTAATACTACATAATTGCATATTCAGATTTTTGTTTTGTTTTTTTCTGTATTTTTCTTCATACTGTCGGATCTATATCCATATATTTGCTTACACACACACATATATATATATATATATATATATATATATATATATATATATATATATATATACGTTACACTTATACGACTACATTTTATGAAATGATACAAATTCATCCAGGCAATCTGATAATAAATCAGACATTTCAAAAAATAAAAATGATAATAAAAATATTCATAATTTAGTATTTAATTCCTGATTGATTGACACTACGGCTTATCAACCCTTTGAAGGTTATTTAAAGCCATAAAATATTTCAGATTGTAAGAAGTTTGGGGATATAATGATTTACTGATACAAGTCCTCCTAATTAACACATAGCTTGGGGGAGATGATATGGATTCATAGCTTTTCCCAACGGTCTTTGCGCTTACGTATGACGAATCCGACTGGAATCGGAACTCGGCTTTTCAGTTTTCAATTTCGAGTCGTTATCCGTCACGCCACTGGGGCAACTAACCTTACAGCCCGTTATTCCCAGCGGTCCCTTCTAGGTACTGACCATGCTCGACATTGCTTAACTTCGATGATCGTACAGGAAACGCTGATTGAACTTGATGCGGCCGCAAGCCACACGCGCTCGGGCTAAAAGGAAGGCGAAAAGAAGATAGTAAGCACGAATACTTCTTGGAGCTACAAAGGACAGGAAGATGTGGGGAGCCATGATAATTCATGTTAGGAAGGGAATAGGTAGATAAATGTGCAGAGTCGATTTTAAAATTTAAAATTGATTTATGCGTTATATGCTATTTTAATTTATTCACCATCCGAAATGAAAATAAAAGATTTATGAGAATATTAAATAAAGCGTAGAAAATTCAATTTTCCTTTCAAGTCTTTTGTTATCTACAAAGGCGTCTACATCGTTTGTTGCGATAAAATGTTTGCTTTCTCCTTTAAACTCAATAAAGACAAACACATGAATCTGTCATTAAACGAAATGAATCGAGTTACTTATTTTATCATTTTTTTTTAACGAACAAAACGTAAAAAAAATAAATATGTCAGAAATGAAATTTTAGATATGTCAGATTTTGAAAATGCTCTATTAAAAATGTCAACGTTGCTTTCTCCCAAGCGAGCAGAAAATGGCTTTATTTGAATAACTAAGCAATTTCATTAGAAAAGCGATCAACAAAACAATCTTTTATTTTTAAAGCACACAAAAGACCCAATTAGAAATGAATAACAGAAAATGTTATTTTAGAAAACGTCTTTATTAAAGTAAAATATGCAAAGGAGTTAAAGTAAAAAAAAAAATATATATATATATATATATAACAACAACAGACGTTTATACTGGGCAATGTAAAAAAACAACGTTCTCATAGATACAATTCCTGGACCCTTATTTATTTTTATATGAGTTTATGAATATTATTCTATTATTAAGTGAATGCCGGGCAGTCTCCGTACAGATGAAGAAGAGACTTTAAGCAACAGCTATATTGTTCTACAGAATGACGCTGAGAATAACATGGATCGAACATGTAAGCAACGAGGAAGTTATAGAGAAAAGAAAACAAAAAGAACACTTATATTTAACATCAGAAAAGGACAGAGGAAAACAACGCATAAGCTACCTAGCGAGCTTGTGTAAATGCATTTACAGGATTTAAGAGAATTAATAAAAAAAGGTTATTAAGAGCTACAAAGGACAGGAAAATATGGAGGGCCATGATCGCCAAAATCCCGAAGAAATACAACACATAGAAGAATGAGAATATTCCAATCATTAGTCTCTTCGAAACGTCTGTTGATTTTTATTTCTGTTGCGCGTAAAACCTGACTAAAAACACGGACGTACGTCTTCGGAAAGTTCGATGGAGCGGCTCGGATTGTGGAATCGGAGAGCCGAGTTCGAATTTCAGTCGAATCCATTGCATTCACTTAGGTGTTAATAAACTTGAAAAAGGTATGAATCCTCTTCTCCCAATTCCCCACCCCAGCTATGGATAAATAGCAGGACAGACCGGGTTCTATAGTCTTGGATGACGACTAGTCTACCGCATAAAGAAATGACAACCTACGGCGGGAAAAATCTGCCTCGTGAATCATGTATCTTTCGATACATGATCAACTAAGTGTATATCACGTATGGCACATAACTGACTGATGTTCACATCATATATATTTCTAACTCTCGGTTGTTTGATTTTCATTGGTCAATAATGCTTAACCTGCATTCGGCTTGTTGAAGCAACGTTATTATAATTTGTGGCGTTCCGAATTTTTCTTGAATTGTTGGACCAAGTCAGTCTAATTTGTGACGTTATAAATTCAAGGAAAGACGAATTCTGTTTGAATTCGGAACACCGCAAATTATACTAACGTTAGTTCAACAAGTCGAATACAGGTTAAGCATTACTGACCAATGAAAATCGAACAACGTAAAAGTAAAAATACCAGAATTTTCTAGACATTTCATTCACTGATGAAACTTTAATAGAATGAAACATGTTAAATCAACCTTTTTCAACACCACACCTAAGAGCATATATATATATATATATATATATATATATATATATATATATATATATATATATATATATATATATAAAATAGGCAGCATATATTTTATATTACAAAGAGTTAACAATTGCATTAATATTGCTAATTGATTCAAGGTATGATTAACTCTTTGTAATATATATATATATATATATATATATATATATATATATATATATATATGAAGAAATATAGTCTTAAGGTGTGGTATATTTATAGGATAAAGTGATCAATATCAGAGATAGAGCGTGTGTAAATATAAAAGTGAACATAGAAGTCAACACTTAGAGGCGACAGTCTGTTTTCATGTTAGACGCAATCGTCAGGCCATCTAGCATGAAACAGAGTGTTGCCTCTAAGTGTTGACTTCTATGTTCACTTATACACACACACACACACACACACACACACACATATATATATATATATATATAACGGAACACAAAGCAAAATTTTTAAAGGATATAAATTTAAATGCTATAAAATAAAACCGAAAATTTTGACAAAAATAGACACACAAATAACTTTACTACAATGTTTCTATTCAAATATTTGTGCAAGGTATTTTGTGTCGATCAGTAGAAATGGCGGCCAATTCTTCTTTTTCACACAACTGAGCAAATGAAAATATAACGATACATTTAGAAAAAATTTTGAAGGATATAAATT